ATGAATCATAATATGATATTATATACGGGGTGTTCCATTTGAAAAATCAAAGAAGCCGCTACTTTATAGTAGAAGCGACAACGCCGCTTCGTCTGAAATATTTTAGGCGTGTAGGTCATATTCATTTATGCATACTGTGAAATTTTCAGGTTGATCCGTCAAATAGTTTGTCAGAAACGGCTAATTAACGCTCATCATGAGAAGCCCTGTATATAATATCCCTTCGATTATCAACTAAACCAACCGCTACTGTTTTATGGTCCAACTTACTCAACATGTAAACAAACTCTCCATAACCTCTCATTACCCGCCACTCCCCTCGTCCGCAAGTTGTACAGAAAAGAATAGTACGATACCCATATATTGTATTGGTATAGTCATGGCAACTCTGTCTTATTATTACTCTGAGGGCAAAACACACTGAATAAATGACAACTAATTTGACAGATGTAGCTTCAATAAGATGCCCGTTATCAAATGTCAAAGTTTGTTGGAAGGCCGTATATTATATGTGTGCTTCCATATATGTTTATTGGAAGTCTCTGTGTATATGCAAACTGGTGAAGTGAATACGTGTTTTTTACATCCTATTTATATTTTATGTATTTCTATCAATGTCTTCCATTTCGAAAAGCATTACCAGTTATTTATTCATTCATTTATACCGTTTGTACTTGTTTTGGCGTTATTTTTAATCCTGAATAAATGACATTACTATTATTATTGTGTATTTTCTTACTCATTAATTGAAAATATCTACTTATTATAATATTCTCCGCATTGTGATTGTTTCCAAACTGATTCTACTCGTTGTGAAATTTCCTGAGGGCTTTGACGGTTTCTACGCTTGCAACAAGTTTCAGGAAACACAGTTTGATTGATTGATTAAACAACCCCTCCGCTAGCATCCACGACCCCTCTCAAACCTACCGTAACGATTTCCAGCATCTCCTGCCTGGAAATGTAGCCATTGCCGTCGAGGTCGTACATGGAGAAGGCCCACTTGAGCTTTTGCTCGAGCTTCCCCCTTGAGGTGACGGAGAGGGCGCATAGGAACTCCCGGAAATCGATGGTGCCGTCGCCGTTGGCGTCGAAAGTGCGGAAGACGTGCTCCGCGAACTTGGACGCGTCACCGTAAGGAAAGAAGTTGCCGTAGATCTTCTTGAACTCGTCGACGGATAGGTGACCGCTCGGGCAGTCCTTCAAGAAGCCTTTGTACCATTCCTGGATTTCGGCGTCTGGAACAACACAATAAAATCAATCTTTGGATGATACAAAATATATCAGACGAATCACAGACAAAATATAGTTAAAAATATTGATAATAATAATACGAGTTTTATATTTCGGGATTAGAGAACAAAAACAAATAATAATCATCACTTTATTGTTTTTCAAAATATTCCCCATGAAGATCTTACATTTTTGCATGCGTTTGAACATGCATTCTGAATGCAACCAACCGCTTCTTCAGGTATCGAAAAACGTTGACCTCTCAGTTTTTTACGTGCGGGAATGAAAAGAAGTCATTCGGTGCCAAGTCAGGACTATACGGCGAATGACTCATCAAATCGACGTTTTGGGTGCTCAGAAATGCAGTTGTTTGAGCCGATGTGTGAGAGCTCGCATTGTCGTGGTGAAGAGTGATTCGTCTTCGGCGGTTGGTTTTCCTGATTTCTTGGAAGACAACCGGCAAACAAATGATTGAATACCACTCAAAATTGACTGTTCTGCGATGATCTAGTGATACGGTTGCGACATGTCCAGTTTTTCCGAAAAAACAGGCGACCATTTGCTTGGAAGTGCTTCGTGCGCGAATAACTTTTGTTGGATTTGGCTCCTTTTGAAACATCCATACAATCGACTGCTGTTTACTTTCGAGCTCATACGCGTAAATTCACGATTCATCACCTGTCACGATGTCATAGATGTATTTCGAAGCACCGCGATCGTATTTTTTGAGCATTTCCTCCGACCAATCGACACGAGCCTTTTTTTGAGCGATTGACAAATTGTGTGGGATTCAACGCAAAGAAATTTTTTTGACAGTCAAATGTTTATGCAATATTGAATGTATGCTGGTCCCACTAATACTTAAGGTTGTCTCAATCTCTCGATAGGTCACATGAGGATCTTGCAATATCAGTTCGCGCACAGCATCAATGGTTTTCGGAACAACAACTGATTTTGGACGACCTTCAAGAAATTCGTCTTGGAGAGAACTACGACAACGATTGAATTCGCCTTATCATCGATAAACAATGTTCCTTGATGGAGCTTCTTCTCCAAAAATTGAAGTGAGTTCATCCAATCACTGTTGATGAGTTAATCCACGTCGAAAAATAATGGCACGAAAATGTTCACGATTTAATTCCATTTTTGGGCCGACATGAATCTTTTAAGTTACTGGAAACATCACAAATAGCGCGCATATANAGTGAAGTGGAATATAATTGAAAAAAAGTTTCAAAGGATTTTATTGTGTTGCCAAGATGATGTTAGTAATTTCTTTTCGAATTCATTTATACGGGATATCTCATAAATCTCAACAAACGGTGATAGAGGATGTCACTTCTGATTTTCATTTCTCACTGTTTTGGCACGTTGAATTTGAAAGTTGAGTTGTCCATGTCCCGAGTGTCACAAAGTAGCTCGCCTATTTCATGAGAAATTTCTTAATGTACCGTCCATATCTCAAAGAACAATATGCAAAATAGAGAAGCAGTTTCGCAAGCTTGGTCATGTGGGGCAGATAAAAAAAGCAGCTGACAATGAAATGAGTGATGAACTCAAATTAGATGTGATGCTTGACTTTGAAGAAAACCCACATACATCGAGTAGACAGGCATCCACTACATTCAATGTCAGCCATACATCGATAGTAAACATATTTAAAGAAAATAAAATGCATCCCTATAAAATGATACCTACTCAGGAGCTCATGAAAGACGATTTTGAAAGAAGAACTTATATTTGTGAGCAAATGATGGACATGTTGGATAACAATATCATCCAAGTAGAAGACGTTATGTTTTCTGATGAGTGTACTCAGATAGCACAGGACGTTTTAAAGACGTCCATTACATGTCCATTTATCGTCTGAATGTCCAGGACCAAGTCTGGACGATTTAAGTATGTCCAGTTTGGTAAATCCTCGGAACGTCCAGAAATATATGTCCCTAGAACGTCCATTCTAGGTACTTTATTATATTCACGTTCGCATTGTATTATTTCATGAGAAACATTAAAAAATCAGAATACATTATAATGAAATGATTATAAAAAACGGCGTATATATACCTATGTTTATTAGATATACAAAAAACGTCTCATTCAGCAAGACGTTGTTATAACATTATTAAATCATCAATAAGCAGTAGAACATTTGAAGGTAATGCCAAAACTGTGTGTGAAGTTATCCAACATATAGGTATCAAGGTCATATAGGTCATATCAAAGAACAATTTCAAACATTAATATCNGATACTCTCACAGAACTTCCTCCAAGACTACAGTTTTGCCTTTCTGATTTTCTTGTTGCATGTCGTTAGAGTGGTTTTATAAAGCTCCCAGTTACCTGACTCTTTAGCTCGATTGAATAGTCGTCGAACTTCTTTTCTTTTTCTTTCAAGGCTTTTGTTCCACCAAGAAGAGTTGCGGTTATCTCTTTTGATCCTAAGTGGGCAGTTCTCATGATAGGATGAGATTACTGCTTCGCAAAATTGCGTCGCTACTGTATTCATATCATTACAACTGCGAATAGTACTGAATCCGTCCTTAAAGTACGATTGGTGGGAGTTTTTATACCCCCTCCATTCAGTAGATTTTGAGTCACAATATTCCACTACTGGTCTTGGACCTGTTTCAATATTGAAAAGAATATATCTATGGTCTGAACAAGATGGTTCAGTAGATACAGACCAATGGTGTATCTTGTTGCTCAGAGAATGTGAGCTGATGGTTAAATCTAATACCTCTTGCCTATTACTAGTGACAAAAGTTGGATCCGAGCCCTCATTAATTACAGACAGCCCTTCCCCTAGTATATAATCAAAGAGTAACTCACTCCTACGGTTTATATTCGTGCTACTCCACGCTGTATAGTGTAAATTGACGTCACATCCCAATACTATTTGTAGTTTGTTCCTTTTGCTATAGTCGATAAGTCGTCTTACAGCAAGATGAGGTACAGTATCCAAATCTCCCGGAAAGTAAGCGAAGCAGGCGATAAAATTCGTCTTACCCTTCTTGCCCGATAGGGAAATTTGGATGGCTACCATGTTTTGGGTGCAGAAGCCTGTAAGCAAAAAATGGTTGATACCTTTCCTGATGACCAGACATGCTCTGGGTTTCACTCCAGGGCACGCTATTACCTCACCAGGAATATTTCTCAGTCCGGTTACTCGGCTTGTATTTCCTGTCCATGGTTCTTGCAGGAAGGCAAGGTCGATTAACTCATCCTAGGCCGTTTGTTTCAAGGACGTATGAAGCGGCCTTGGCATGTTGTAAGTTTGCCTGCAAACACTTGAAGATTTGGGGTCCTTGAGGACACCCCCACCCTCCTCTCCCGGGATCTAGTGATATGTAGGCTCAGATGATGAGGTGAGGACACCTGCTGTCTCTGAGTTGCCTGATGATTTGTTGGATCTCTTTGACGATACGATTTTCGTATTCGCTTTCAGAGAGCCACGTCCAGCCTTTTTTCCCAGTTTACTCGACGAGACCTAGGCCGTATTCGTCTCCTGAGAAACACCTGTTTTCCCGGCCTTGGGCTGGGTGTGAGCCGGTGGTTTACCCCTATGTTTGGGTGGAGGTTTGGTTGAACTTCTCCCCATGGGTGGACTTCCACTCGACTCCGCTTTAATTACTCAAACGAGTACACTAGTGTGACTCGTTTGAGTAGTTTCCTGCTGGGAGGGTGTCCGGGTTTCAAGGTGGAATAAGACCTGCCCAAAACCAAAATGTGGTCTGAAACCCGTCCTCGCCAGCACGGCAATGGATCCATCGTCTACAGCGAAGGTCCATGTTTGACCAGGGCCTGACTTTTTCTTGCGGAGGATCGTCCACTCCAAGGTTGACAGACCACGGTTCATTTTCCTCAATCTAGTGAGGACCTATTCGGAGGTCAGTCTATGACTGCCTGCGGCAACCTTCCCATATGAGGGTTTTTGCACATCAGGTACACCTGACGATGCCTTAGATTTAACCGTGCAGGGCTTTTTCGCCTCTGGTTTCGGTGAATCATCATTTGAGCGCAAACGTTTGCTAACCTGCTCAAGGAGGGTTTGTTTCCCCACCTGAGACAGAGTCTGCGTACGCCGCTCAAGAATTTGGTGCAAGGCGGTTTCATAAGGTTCTCCGCTCTTGAGGAGACGACTCAGTCGTTTCCTGGCTGCGCCACTGAACCTTTTCCCAGGTTCAGTTTTTGAATCAGGGTTTGGAGAGTTGAGGAGCTATCGCTCCTGATCTATACTTACAGGGAGGTCAGCTGGAGTCATAAGCTCGACATCCATCTCCTCTGTAGACTCAGCGTCAGAAAAAAAATTCAAATTCACTCTGTCCATAAAAGTCCCACGAGTAAGTGGGACTTTTATGGCACAGCTATCCGCTAGGACTATACACATCCGTATTTCAGGCGGAAGTGTATGCTATCTTGCAGTGTGCAAGGCTTAATAAATTGAGACGTAAAAGAAATGAGCGGATCAATATTTTTACAGACAGCAAGAGCGCATTAGGGGCTCTGACAAACCCGAAGGTGACATCAAAACTGGTCTGGGAATGCCATGAA